ACACAGCTCAAGTCGCGGACACTGCTGTCCCAAGCAACTTGCCACAAGCTGGCCAGGCTCCATCTGAGACAGCTCAAGTCGCGGACACTACTGTCCTGCATAACGCACCACAAGCCAGAGGGCAGGCTAGCCAAGGCGACACATCTCAAGCCATGAACAAATCTGTCCCAAGCAACGCACCACAAGCCAGCGGGCAGGCTAGCCAGGGCAACACATCTCAAGCCCCGGTCCACCCTTCCCTCAGCTATGAAAACGAGCTAGATGAGACAATGATGGGCAGTGCGGCGTTCGTCTTCAACCTACTTCGAAGCTGCGGTCATCAAGTTCCGGTAAGTAGCTTTCTACTTTGATCTGCTTTTGTCCTAACATACTCAGATCCATATTTCGACCGCCGCTGCTGCCATGGGCTACACCGATGGGGCCATGCGAAGGAAGATTGACCGCATGCGTGCACAGCACCCAGAGCTTCGTCTCCGCGCAGTTGGACCATGGGACGACCATCTGTTTCGCGATCTCAATGAGAAGCGAGGTGGCGGCAGAAAGGCGAAAACTGACCCTATCAAGGGGGGAGGATCGTCTAAGAAGGGGGTGCAATCGAAGTCTAATGGAGGACAGGGATTGCAGAAGTCGGGTGGAAAGAGAAAGGCAGCTCCTCAAGATAAAGCCACTGAGCGCAAGAAGCAGAGACAAAATGGTCCAAATTGTAAGATTCCCGAACCAGATTTCCACGATGATGACGAAGACGACCTGGACGACGGGAGCAACATTCCTCAGATGACAAACAGTCGTCCGAGCTGCCCAGTCTGAAGCCAACGAAATCTCAAGGCGAGGAATTATGTACCTCGGTAAGACAATGAAGTCCGAGACAAGGAGCTGAGGGGGAGAGGGGACAGTAGTATTCAACAGGGGATTTGGATAACGGCGTCTCATTGGAGAAGAGCTTCTGCTTATTCTACATAGCAAGATATGAGCTTTTGGGCTAGAGAAGCTATTACAGCCTTTTTTTGAAATTGAAAATCAAAACTTATAGTCGGGCATTTCCTATTCGACCTGATCGAGAAGCTTTGGGCAAGGTACCACAATGGAGTGATTGCCCCAGAGAACAGATTGGTCATCATCTGGCTCGTCCTGCCCCTCAAGCTCATCGGATACAACCTGATCGGCGCGACCTTGCAAAACGCGAGGACATGGAGTTTCTATGTCTTGGCGGTGGGTTGGGCTCTCCACAACTTCGCCACTATCATCACGACGGCTGCGGTTGGCGCCTACTTGCTGGACGCGTATCCCGAAGCTGCGGGCGAGTCCGCTGCCCTGATCAACTTCGCCCGAACCCTTGGCGGATTCATCGTTGGGTATGTTGTGGCCTGTCATCCCCAAGGTTTACGACCAAGCTCGCTGACACTTCTTTCCTTGCAGATATATTCAAATCGACTGGGCCAGCTCCGCCGGCACACAGACCGCATACGGCATCCAGACTGGGATCATGGGCGCGGCCTTCTTCATCGTTGTGTTCCTTCAGTTCTTCGGCGCGAGGCTGAGACACGCCCAAGGCCCCTTGAAGTTCAAGACTTATTAGGTGGAGGACTAGTTTGTACATGGTACTTGCATAGGGAGATGAGGGGGGATATCGACCACCGAACCCCGAAGACCTACCCCTGTTTTTCTGGTTCATTGTCTTGTTGATACAGTACTGGGGCTTTCAAGACCGGTCAACTCAATACTGCGTTAGCTAGTTCTAGTCCTGTATAGTTGAGCACCTACATTATAGTGAGGCAGCATAATACATCACTCATATAACTTTACTTTAGCTGGCGCAAAGATTCATCTAACGACTTGGAGAATAGATTGTTGTAAGAAGGTAGGAGTTGGTGTGTGTGCGTGTGTGTGTGTGTGTGTATGTAGGGTGCTGTCTCCGAAGAATACTGTCTCCGAAGAATACTGTCTCCGAAGAATACTGTCTCCGAAGAATACTGTCTCCGAAGAATACTGTCTCCGAAGAATACTGTTTACGAGAGTTGCTGACTGTAACAATGAAGATGTAATATCGACATTTCAGCGAACAAGAACAGCACACATGGGCGCGCGGACTCGCAGGACTCGCAGGACTCGCAGGACTCGCAGGACTCGCAGGACTCGGAGGTCTCAAATAACCACCAAGATTGTTCCTAGGCCTATAGAATATACAAATAAAGTACCTATCTCAGCCATACGAAATGACTGCACGAACAAGGCGACTCGATAACGGGTACATATACTGTTGTTATGAGTACTCCCTGACTCGATATTTCCAGTGCTCTTCATATACCCTCCGCGATCATATACCTTTCCTTTACAAGGCTGTTGTAGCCTTATACCTTCGTATAATGAACTGGGGGTGAGGCTTCATAGCGAACGGGTACATCTCTCTGCGGCTCAGGTGGCAGACACTACCTCTCTCCTACACTTTGACTACACTACATCCCCAAGGAACGGTGCGATGTCTGGAAGCTGAGTACACCGGTGTGTATTGTCTGTATCGTCCTGTCTACGAACTATCGAAAAGCAAAAGACAAAAACAAAAGGGAAAGGAGCGCAGCCTTACGCTAAACCTCCACCAATTAGAACGCGATGTCTCTTCTCTATACATGTGTACAGGGAATGGACAGCCTTACCAAACCACAACTTCATCAGCCCCAGTACAATAGAAAGAAGAGAAACTAAGAGGGAGAGGGAGAACGTGAAAGATGAAAGGAGGAAGTGAAAGATGAAAGGAGGAAGTGAAAGAAGGAAGGAAGTAAAAGAAGGAAGGACGAAGTAGAAGAGAGAAGGAAGGAGGAAGTAAAAGAGGGAGAGTAAAGGAAGTAAGAAAAGGAGGAAGTGAAGAAGAGAGGAAGTAAAGAAGAGAGGAAGTAAAGAAGAGAGGAAGTAAAGAAGAGAGGAAGTAAAGAAGAGAGGAAGTAAAGAAGAGAGGAAGTAA